ATATATATATATATATATATATATATATAACAAAACAAAAAGTAATGTTAAATTGTTAAATATTATCAAGCAAGAATTAAATGAATGAAATAAACTTTATGAAAATAAAAATAAGTTTCTGATAATAAACTATAATATTTGTTTATAAAGTTTTTACTGAAGTTTTTACTGAAATTTGGTGTCCATACGATAAACACAATGAATTAATAATAATAATAAATAATTATCAAAATCTGATTAACAAGGTACTCGTGGAATAAAAATATAGTTTTTAAATCCATTGTCATTTTCATTAAAATATTATAAATTGTTTACAATTAACTTTTATAACTTACTTTTATTTTTACAGCACCGTATTTAAATAAATTATGGTTAAATTTATATTAAATAAGTAGTTTTTATCACTTTTAGTTTCAATCACTTATTCAATAGCAGTTAGCAGTAAATAACTAATTAGTATATTTCAAATATAAATTAATTTCAGTGTAAATCTTATTAATAATGAATATATGTTTGGGTCATTCAATAAATAGAAAAAAATTGAATTCTTTTGAATTGAATATCAATTTTTATAATTCAATGTTTTTGCTATGAACTATAAAACATAATTACATGAAAACTGTTTATGGGTTTAAGCTTATTATTAATTGGGTTATAAGGATATACTACAGGTTATATTGATATCCGCACATTATCAAACAGAATCACCAGCTCTGGCACCGGTAGTAATTTGCGAAATGTTTGCCTATTATGATACCAATACAGGGAGACTACTGTCGGGTGGATGAGTGGAGAGCCTGGGGTCTCATTGAAATTCAAATGAACAATATATTGTCAATCAATGGTTTACGTGTCTCATAGAGTATATGCTATTATTTGGTTACGTGACTAATATGTATATAAATTGAAAGCATTTTCAACATATTTGACAAATCAATTGTTTTCGCAATTCACTGAACATTCATTAATAACTTACTCAAACTGTTCATATAGTTATCAACGCTTTGAACATACAGTATATAAAACATAACAATGAATACTACACTAAACTTACTATTTGTTAGCATGTTGCTTTATGGTAAGTATTTAAAATTATACGAACACTATAAATATGATAATAAATTATATCTTATATCTTGAATTTTAGTTTCGATGGAGTGCTCGCCAATTGACCGAAAGGACAGGGATGTGGAGTCGGTGTGCGATGAGGAGCATAAGGCCAGGGCTAACGTATGCGCCGATAAGCTATGGTTTGTGGGCCGGAGATCGAGAAAATATCCGGAGAATGAGCCGGAATTGGAGACACACTGCAAACAAACGGCAAAACTGATCGCATGTGTCAAGTCATACACCGATGTCTGCGGCAAAGAAACCCACAAACAGTTGGCAAATGTGATGCTCTTTACTGTGAAACAAATGGACAAAAACTATTGCACCAAATCGACTAAAAAGCATGAATTGATGTCTTTCTCGGTGTGCGGCAATCGCATCCGGGATCAGTCCAATAAGTGCATGGATCAGTTTATGGTCGAGTTGGGCAAGTCCAATGCTTTCGAGACCAGGATGAAAGTGCCCCACGCGTGCTGGTATGTATATTATCTATATTTGTGACCAGTGTAATTTAATTTACTTTGTATTCGTTTTGTTAACTTTTTTTGTTTGAATATATTTGTAGCGCTTTTCATGAGCTGAAAGCCTGTATTATGAGTTCCGCGCGAACGGCGCGTATGTGTAGCGAGAAATCAATGGATAATTACGAGAAATACATCACATCTATGGCCGGAAATACATTGAGTCTGATGTGCACTGACTATGAGGAGGATTCCGACAAATGCCAACATTTGCCTCATTTGCCAAAAGGAGCCAAATATTCAAAGGCCCCGTCAGTTATCGACGGCTTCGGTAGCATATTAGATGACGATTAGGCTATCAATTTGTGTAATTGTAGTCTATTTAATGTATAAATGTATTTATTATTTGTAAATAAGTTATTTGTTACACTCAATAGGATTGCCTCAATTGTACAAAAGTTGTAAATTATATTTATTAATAAATAGATATTTCAATTATCTACTGAAATTCCGCACATTATTATGCAATTGTTTACTCAACTTTTTAGCCATAATTTTTATAAAGAAATTCTCATAAGTATAACAATTTATGAAATATAAAACTTAGATTATATGGAATAAATGATAACAATAACTTTTATTATATTGACATTAACTAGAAAAGCGTATTGTATCGATTAACTCCAATTAACCCTAGTTTGTGATCAATTCATGTCCAGTGATCAACCCATCAACCAGTTCATCATATCGGGCATACTGTGAGGAATGGTATGACTTTTTATATCACTTAAACATGAAATTCCTCTCGTCTTTTGATCGGATGTGAAATAATTACTCCAAAAGCCATCGCAAGTCTCTACAAATGGGTTCTCCATTATATGGTCGGGCGCTGACGGGTTAATCTCTTTGTTAAGACCCTGACGTCTTTATTGCCTAATAAGGTGCCGCTCTCTAGTATAGCCCTCTTGAATAACCCCCTAGATAAGGGAGACAACACATGGCCCGATACGGACCAACTACCGGCGCTCTCACCAAATAATGCGATCTGATTGGGATCGCCACCAAACTTGTCAATGTTTTCTCTCACCTAATGATTAAACAAATTAATTAAAAATTTTATTTTATTCATGATTTCAAATGCAATACCCATTTCAATGCCAGCAATTGATCGTATAGTCCCAAGTTACCAGGCTCATGCTCAGTGCCCCCGTATAGCCACCCGAATGGTCCCAGTCTATAGTTGGTGAACACAACGACCGTATCCTGAGTAGACAGTACCCTCCCGTCCCCATACGGCGAGAATATGGAGCCTGTTCTCAGACTCCCTCCGTATATCCGAAACATGACAGGTTTGAGACCAGCTTTTGGGAGCGCTTTTCTACCGTCCCCTTCACTCGGGCTCCATATGCTTAGTACTAAACAGTCTTCGCTCTGATTGAGGGGAACGGCTGTCACGCTATTCTGAAAGCAACTGTTTTTAGGTTTTGTCGCATCGATTACCTCCTAAGTATAGACACAAAAAATAGACACGTTTGTTTAATACATTAATAGTCTGACCCCTAACTACGCCGATACTGGTGCTCACATCGACGGTAGCACTTTGTACTAATCCAATGCTATTCACTAATATATAAAATGAAACTAATTTTAAAATTTTAAAATACATTTCGCTTTTGATTTTTTGGGACTTTTTACTTTTTATACTGCTAGAGAAGGCTTTTATACTTACATCCAGGTTCGCATAACCAAAACATCCAGGTCCAGGATATTACGAATAGTCTAAAAGTTTTCAATAATCAAATGACAAACTGTAGATTTAACCAATTATGACCACAATTGTATATTAAACACATTGTGGCCGTAAGTATAAATGTAACGGTTGCTCGCACTTATACACACCGTAATGTTTACTAGTAAAACAATTAATTAATTATCATATGTTCAATGTTCATAATGTTCGATACTATTAATTAATTGTCAACATAATTGTGAGAAACAATTAAATTTTAAAAGTTATTATCATTAAGGACAATGTTGCATGAGTACGATAAGTTGCCTAAACTGGCACCCGGGATATAATGATTAATTCCTATAGAACTTTCCACGACGAGTCTGAATATCTAATTTATATTTTCCTGTGACCTGGGTGTTTATAATGGGTTTGCAATGAGACGGCTAATTATGAACATTACACTCCATACAGTTTTAATTATACAATTATAGCATACAATTTATTTCAAAATATAGAGTTTACATAAAATATTCAAAAATTACAAATATTTATATTTATATTTTGATTATAAAAATAAAATCTAAATATTTATTTAATTCTCAATTCTGGCGGACAGTCTGTTTGTCGGTAGGGGTGAGTGCTTTCGAAGGCATCCAAACTCATAAGATATGTATTAATTTTACTGATTGTCGGATAGTCTTTGATATCAATCCCCAAATTGATTGCATTGAATACCTGTGGAGCCAGACATACATCAGCCACCGATACCTCATCCCCGACACAGCACCGGCCGCTTGACTGGGCTAACAGTGCGTCCAACGGCCGGAATCGGGTGCTGATCCAGTACTTGGCCCACGAGTCCGAGTCCTCATTAGTCTCTGATATAAAGTAATTAAAAGAAATAATTTTATTCAAAGTCTCTCTCTCTCTCTCTCTCTCGCATCCATTTCCCACATAATTATGTAATTACTTACTCAAGTCTTTAGCCATTATTTCGGAAACCCGTTCGCAAACCGAGTCGTTCTGAAGCGGTTGAATACCGGCCACGACTGCCAGTGCGATAGCCCTGGCCTTAGCCCTCAGCACCGGATCTTTAGGCAGCAGTACCGGTGCGCCGGTGTTGGCGTACCTTTCCTCCAAGTACTCAATGATGGCATAGGACTCGACCACCACCTGCTCGCCATCGACTACCAGTGCGGGCACCTGGTGTAAGGGGTTGAGGCGTTGAAAGTCCGGTGCAAACTGTTGGTCTGTATTCAGATCCACGGCTTTGTACTCGTATTCAATGCCCTTTAGATTCAGTGCTTAGGAATCGGTATTAAAAAAGTTTTAATTAAATTGTGATTAATATGTCAATTAATATCTAATATTATTTTCAATGTTGTTATTATTAGCAGTAAATAATATTTGACAACAAATATGACTGGCAGGCATATGATATTGCTCATATTGTATATTGTAATGTAAAATATGTCTCAAATATGTCATAAACTATTGTCATCTCATGGCTTGTCATTCATATGAAGCATAAAATATTGAGTTAAGACATGTTTAACAGAAATAAGACATATTTCACACAATATTTGATTAAAATACAATCAATAATATTTCCGAGACCTGAATATACAAAAAGTCAATAAATTCAATACATATTTTACTTTTATTAATATTGACATAAAAATATAAAGTGGACAGGCAGCTAAAACATGACATACCGATCCTCACCCGCCAGGAACAAGAACTGTGATACGAATTGTATAGAATTGGCTATAAATATAAGATCAACACAAATGTTACATAAAAACAAATAAAATATCCAAGTTTAAATTACTTTTGCACTCATATTGAATCCCGGTCCTCTTAGTTAAACATTTTGTATTTAGTTAGTTATCACAAAAATTATAACTAATATTTTTGACCACAAAAACAAACAGATGTTTTCAATGGTAGTGAACGCACGCCTCTAAACACACAGATTCTGCACATTCTCTGTGTGTTTAAGTATTATATTCTGTGTTCACAACAGGAATCCAGCCTTGAATTGGATGCCTATTGAAGGACAAAGTCATGTATTTGTAGACTATTTGTATAGTTATTCACATAACTAGAGATAGCCGTCAAATATATCGTCCGTGCGATGAATTAGCATCAATTAGAGGTCAACCCTCCCGTCCCATAGATAACTGAATTGACTGTATTAATAAACCCTTTTGTAAGATTATGAGTATTGCACTGATATTCAAGTTTGCAAACTAATCTTATAAAGTGTGTTATAATAACTATGTAATAAATGTTACAAAAAATTGTTTATTAAGAATTTATTAATTAAATTTGATAACCACTTAAATCTAAATTTAAAATATTAGTAAATTTTTAAACTTTTAAACTTCTCAATAAATTTCAATGATACACTATTTCTAGATTTTTGAATATAAAAATAAAATCACTTTTAAGTACGAGATTAAATTAAAAACATTTGAGTATATCGTATGTAAACTTCTTGTAAGTATTTCCTGAATGATTTGATTGAATAGCGTTTTATAGCGATAAGTGTTTATGAAATGACAATATGTTTAGCATTGCTTTTCTGGTGACAAGTGTTTTGTTTATCAACTCATCTCTCAAATTGCAATCTTCAAGAATAAGTAGTTATTATAGCAATTGGTTTTGAAATTAAACATTCATTTCATATGAAATCTTGTATACTATGAAAGGGCTGGGGATACACAACATTAAAATAATAAACATTTAACAAATACTTTGAAATTTTATAATTCATACAAATACATAAAATTACAAAGTGTAAAATAAAATCAAATATACAAGCCTAATAAAATATTTTTAAACCTGCTTTCTAATACTTGTTAAAAGTTATTTAAATTTAAACAATTAGCTGGTCACCCCTGAATCCCTGGCCCCAAAACATCGAGACAACATGTCAAACAATTACAACAATCATGTGATTAACAAGATTATTAAAAATTTAATCAATTATTTGAATTCCTACTTGAATTACAACTTGTAATTTACAAGTTTTATGAGTTAAGTACAGTATTTGCAACAAAATAACTTCAAAAATACAATAAATTAGTTTCAATAATACTTTAGAAATATGCTTGTTATAATAATCGGTGGTATATGCATAGCATTGGCATTATTTTACTATCAAAGGGTTAGACGGATGACAATATTGGAAAGGCATGGCATCCCAGGCCCTAAACCGCACCTCATATTTGGAAATATGTTTGACTATAACACTCGGGGCTATAATGAGTGCTACGATGAGTGGAAGACCAAGTATGGCCGGGTATTTGGCTATTATTTGGGCGCAAAGCCATTCATTGTGGTAACGGATCCGGAACTGTTGAAACTGATCCAAATCAAAGAGTTTCACCACTTTTCGCACCGGCCATACATTATTCCCGGTGGTATATACAGGAACTGGAAATATCACCAAATGGTAAATACAATTTTGATACTGCATAATAAATTAGTTATTTAAAAGTTTTGATTACTAAATGTAATTTATAAAATATGTTAAATATAAATTATTAGCTACTGTAGACAAAAAAAAACACGTTACTAAAGTTATTATGAGCATTAAATAGGGACTTGAGTAAATACAAATATGTACTAGATTAAACACAAAATTATCAGTGATGTTTCTATCATTTACTAGAAATTGAGAATTAATAATTATTTGTAACATTTCTATCTTAATAAACTAATTATAATTATAACTACAATACGTTTGATCGTAAACTAAAAGTATCGATACATCACTACCTCCCCAACCCATAGGTAACTCGCGTGGAGTCGTTTCGGTGGAAGAAGATGCGGACAATACTGAGTCCGTGGTTCAGTTCATCGCAACTCAAGTCAGTCGTCCCCATAATCAACGTCTGCATCGACCATATGATGGCCAAACTGGAGGCCAACGCCGGCGACGGACACGACTTCAACATATACTCGCTTCTGGAGGGTCTCACGATGGACACCATCGATAGGTCGGCCTTCAGTATACGCACCGACATTCAGGACCAGTTTGAGGGCAACCCTCTGATTGAGGCCACGAGAGGCGTCTTCTCCATCAAGCCGTCCGACTTCTTGGCCTCACTATTGCTGTGTTTACCGGAGTTTTCGGTGATAATCAATATTCTTCGTGATATCAGCGAATGGTTCAGTGATTACTTCGGCAACTCATCGCACGGACTGCTACTAAAGGCCGGGCGGACTATACTCGACAATAGGCTCGAAGCCATTCGCAGTCAGACTAACGACATGTCGGGCGCCGGAAGGAAAGACATGTTGCAGTTGATGGTCGACGCGCGCGATTCTAATGGGAGTACTGATAGGGGAACGGGAGATAAGTCGCTAACGGATGTCGAGATCATAGCCAACACTATTGTGGTTCACGAGGCGGCCTACGAGAGTCCGGCTAACATACTGGCCTTCATTATACATAATTTGATTCAATACCCGGATATACAGCGAAAACTATGCGATGAGATCGACGGCCTGTACGCCAGGGACGGCCGGTTTGACTATAACGTGATGTCAGGCCTACCGCTAACCGAAGCGGTGGTGTGCGAGACGTTCCGTCTGTTCCCGACGGACACACTGTTCACGAGTCGAGCGCCGGATATGGACTACCGGTTCGGCGAACACGTGTTGCCGAAAGGGGTGGACATACGGATACCGACGTTTCAGTTGCACCGGGATCTCGAGCTCTGGCCACAGGCGCTGCAGTTTAATCCCATGAGGTTTATGGACAAGGAGTCTACAATTGATTCGGTGGTGTACCAGCCCTTTGGTGTCGGTCCCCGTATATGCCCGGGTAAACGGTTTGGGTTTCTCGAGATTAAGCTAGTGTTGGCTAAATTGCTGCATAAGTATGAGTTGGCACCGGGACCTCGCACTGAGCTGGGTCATATTGAACTCGACTTTAAACTAATTACACTTTCGCCTAAAAATGGGGTTTTTGTGAAATTAATTCCTAGACTTTCTCAATGATCACTAAAAGTTATTATTAGTTTTTCTCTAAACTTTTGCATATAATACAGATTATTATTTGTATATTCTGTGACTAAATTTAGATTAAATTAATTTATTTAATATTTTTCTGTATTGTCTTATTAAGAATTCTACTAATACTGTATGTTATGGGATGATAGAAATAGCTAGATAATTATACATATTTTAGTATATACCAGATCGATCTTAAGGTTTCTTAATAGATCAAATATGGTATTATAGTAAAACTTGTTAATTATTATCATGTCATTTTTATCAAATTATTATCATGTGCGTTACTTTTATCAAATGTTTGATAAATCTTAAGAAAAATTACACTACTGTTGTATTTAGAGTCTAAACATACCATTTCTAAACTAAATTTTAATAAATTTAATAATAAATAATATTCACTAAAACAATGATTTATTGCATTACAACCGACGGAGAGATCGTTGAATTGAATGATAATTACATGAAATATGAGAACATATTCCGTGATAATCATAATCACATAGTTTGGGCTCATTTTCAAAACACAATCCATCAAAACGGGTAAACACTTTAAATTCATATATCAATAAAACTAAACATTTAATAAAACATTACTTAAATATTTTAAACCCCAATAGTTGGGCGCAAATCGAGATCCACACCAATGAGGGTCAACCCGATAGCCAACAGGCCTACTATGCTGGTGTGGTAGAGGGCTACCTGACCCACGAGCTAATCGCAAATCATTACCACAACAAACTTCACGACTATTTTGCCGACGACTCTGGCTATGAGTTACGACTCAAACAATTCATGGACACAAACCTCGAGTTTATGGCCAAACAGGTGCACACCTACCGGTCCACTGATCCCTATTGGCATTGTGTGGCACTAGTACTCGAACAGATCACTGGCCTTCAGGATGGCTACGATTGGCGTACGAGAGGTCACCGGCCATTGGGTCCGCGCATTGATATCCGGGTCTTTCAAGAGGTGTTTCTATTGAATCTGATCCCAGACTTGGATGTGTTGGAGGAGGTGTTGCGCAAGAAGTGCGTCGACAGACTGTTAGGCGAAGGCAAGTGCTCGGCGATTGTCAAACCCCTGGCCGACGGCACCGACCTATTGGTGGCGCATAACATGTGGTCAACGTATCACTCGATGTTACGATTGGTTAAGAAATACGACTTTCGCTACCATATGCTGCCCAACAGTAATACCGGCGCTACTAATGGCTTGATTCCGGGTCACTGTATGGCTCATACATCATATCCCGGAGCCGTACTATCGTTAGACGACTTCTACATTACATCCGCCGGACTGGTAGTACAGGAGACGACGTTTGAGATCCTAAACAACGAGACTCTCTGGGAATCAGTGAAACCGGATTCAGTTCTCGAGTTTATCCGCGTTTTGGTGGCCAATAGGCTGTCCACAGGGGGCGCCCAATGGGCACAGGTATTCAGCCGCTATAATAGCGGTACGTATAACAGCCAGTTCATGGTTGTCGACTACAAGCTGTTCCGCACGGGTACGACACCGGACCAGTTGGCCGACAATACCCTCTGGATCTGCGAACAGCTACCGGCGCTCATTCGCAGCCAGGATATGACTGAACACCTGCGGCGCCACCACTACTGGCCCTCATATAACGTGCCGTTTTTCGACAATATCTACACTAATGGCGGTTATCATGAGCTGACCCACAAGTACGGCGACTACTTCTCGTACTACCGGTGCCCGAGAGCGCAGATATTTAGTCGCGACCACAGCTCAGTGCGCGACACGACTTCCCTCATGCGTCTCATGCGCTCCAACGACTACACCGTTGACCCCCTGTCCCGGTATCCGGACTGTACGCCCGGGTATTCGGCGGACTTGGCTATCGCCGCCCGAAACGACTTGAATGATCCGGACGGCCGGTACGCCATACCGGTGCTCGGGTTCAGAGCCCGGGGTGCCATCGATGCAAAGGTTACGGGCAATGATATGGTGCGCGCGTACGGTATGTATGCTGTGAGCGGACCCACACATCTGTCTCAGCCACCGTTCCAGTGGTCGACCACTCGGGTGTCAGGCGTACGACACGAGGGACAGCCCGATAAGTGGCACTTCCCTCCCGTAACTGTGGACTGGCTTTTGTGATGTTAAAATATATAATAATTTTGTCTTTAATGAATTATACAACCAGGCACATTTGAATTTGAAATTGTAAACTTTATACAATATAATAATGCTCCATAAAGCATCTTTGGCAACTACTTAGTCGTTTGCGATCCCATTCCTCACCGCAACCATCGGTACTCTGTGTCGTCTCACGAGAAGTGAATGTCTCTATTTTTAGTACAGTTTTAATGGTTAAGGATTGTCACCAAAAATTAGCTCAATTTTAGTTTAACTCTAGTTATTATATTAAATGTGCAAAACATGTGATTTTAATTAATATGCATTTTCTGTATGAAAACACGAATAAACTTACCGTAAATACGACCCACGTGTTTGTAAACTATTGCATAACCTTGCTTATTAGATAACTAGACACTAAATTAGAAACAATACACTTATTAATCAATTTTTTTAGTGGAGACAGTCTATGAGGGCCTGTATGCACTGTACTACCGGAGTACCGGAGACATGCCCGGGTGATCTGTCAGTGCCATAATTAATAAATTTTTATAATTACTTTTTCAGTCTCTAATCGTTTATACTTTTCCATAAAAATAAAATAAGATTTCAGTTTTGAGTTGCGATTTATTAATAGAGACTTTGTTTTGAATTTGTTTTCAACTATTTTTTCCATTGTTTTTGTGAATATATTAACAAAATTAACAGCAATTGTATTGACGTTTTCATATACAGAGTACAAGTAGTCGTGTTTATACATAGAGTTAGTGTTTATGTGTCTTATCGGCGAAAATATCATAATATTTAATAGTTTTCCCAAACGTTTGTGTATTACATTTGAAGGCTATTTAAATTCATAGCTAAAAGTGTACTCATATTTAATTTGTATAAAGTTTTCAAAAATAGTTTTTTTGTGCTAAACATTCCTTTATTCTGTTTACTATATTTAGTGTTTCATAAAAATTTTAAATAATTTTTTATAAGCTTGTTTATATCTTAATTTGACAAACGTATGTATATTTAGTTGCAAGCTGTAATTTAACATTTTATAAAAATATTATAATTTTATTTGTAATCAAATATTATTTATTTCGGTTGAAAGTCATGAGAAATTTGAATACAATTTTATATCACATAAAATTTTTTGATAGAAAAATAATTTTATACATGGATTTAGACAATTTTTAAAACAATTTTTTAATGAATTATCATAAACACAATTTAGTTAATACTTATAAATATCAGATTCCTATTTCCATAATTTATATCTACTTTAATTTATTTATTTATTAGGACACCAATTATAGCACCTGTACTGTTGATTACATCCTAAACCCAATAGACCAGTATTAGCAGCATATAAGCGGTGCTCATCCATAGCCCCATGAATTGCATTACATTCACAGGTAAACCATGTGTTAAATAACGAATTCACGTGTGTTTGATAACTGGTTTCCCTTGAAATCATATATTGCCACCACTCGAAAGGGTTGTGTCATTTTGGTGTATAACATGTATGCGCTGCTCACTCCCGGTGCTCAATACACTCTACGGTTCCCCCAACAACTCGTTTGTATTCCTACACTCTTAGCCATAGAGTGAACATCCATTCAAACAACACACAGCCTACTCTTCCCCTCGTATAAAGTTATCATACATATTGTGTGTGCGATAAATAAAGTAGAAAAAAGTTTTTTATTATAACTTTTTTTTGCATTCGTGACAATTGTATTAATTTATTGTCTGTTTGTTTGTCTCGAGTTTTTTTGTGCGAAAAGTGCGGTTTTCTATCACTTTTTTGGCAGAAAAATAAGTTTCGCTTAGTTTTGGTATTCGTGTGCGAAGTATAACTGATTTGAAAGAAGTTTTTTTCGTTTTGCAAAATGTGGTCAAAAGTTGTCGTATCGATAGTTATTGTGCTGCCAATGGTATGCCAGTTGTCGGCACCGTTACAGTTGAGGGCCGGACAGTGTCCACGAATTAAGCCTAAAGCTAACTTCGACTTGAACAAGGTACTTATCAAAAAATTATATTAATAATACATTAATTATTTACACAAAATCTTAATCATAATATTTTACATGCATATTATTTGCTATAAATCTTACCGTATAGCTACAGTAATATAATAGCTTTAAAACTAATAATTAATATTTGCTAAAATAATTTCTAACCTTATTAAACATATTATCCATTCATAAAAAAATTATATAATTTTATTTCTGCATACAATGTTTTATAACAAATATTTTATTATAAAATTATCTTAATTTTTTTGTGAAGTGCATTTAAATCCCACTCTCTATTATGCAGTTTAAGAAAAGCCTAATTTTTCATTGATTTCAATCTAAAGTTAACACAAAAAGTTCATTTTATTTTACATAATTTTTTCATACGATCTAATTGTGCTATTGTTTTATTTGTACAAAATATTAGCAAGTATTTCATACATACCATAGAATTATGTGTAGAATTGAGACTAAATCTCGTCGCCCATACCTTTTATATTCACTGCCATTGTATGGCATTTACATACCATTCCCCTCCATATATTGAGGCGATTAAATGCTAACAAGTAATTAATATAATCATACATTTATATTATGATAGAGTTAATAATTTTGAACTTTTAAAATATGTTAGAGAGAGAGAGAGAGAGAGAGAGAGAGAGAGAGATGTGAATAATTCATAACTACATCAGAATATTATGTGTTTTTCAACACCAAAATCAAAAATAAATATTTTTACATTCAAAAGTTTTTATTTAGCAAAGGTCTTTAATTATTTATTTTAATTAATATACTAATTTCCATATTATATAACTTTACTGACTCTCCCTCTTAATATCCTTTGAGACTATAATTAAGACAATGTGCTAATATATTTATCACATATTATAAATAAATCATAATTACAAACATAACGCAAAAAATATGAAAATTTATTTTAAATATAAATATAAACACAAACTTAATGAATGAGTAGGCATTCAATGCTGATTAGCATAGGTTATACAACTAATAAATATCTCTCGTGTTTTTATTTTTAAGTTTTTTGTGTATAAAATATTTATACAATTTTGATGAGAATTTTGTGTTAATTACAGAATTTATTTTTTTTGCTTACTAGTTTTATAATGAATTTTTATACCCATTTATATCCATTACTCTCTACTGATATTCACTTCAATTATGTGCACAACTTTCACATTAATTTCGATGTTTTGATAACCTTTCCCATCGTACAGTTTATGGGCGAGTGGTATGTCATATACCGGGACGGGTCGGAGGGGGCCGACTGTATCCGCCAGAACGTCACCAGCAATGGCCGGAACCGGTACTTCATCACTGAGATCAGGGAACCGTTAGCTAAGGGTGTCTTCACGTAAGCCATCAATTGATAACCAAAAAAATTATATATGAAAATGCTGTTAACTATTTCACTCAATACTCGAGAATCTATTGTGAAATTCAATGCATTCTTAACACTATTTACACAAATAATTATTTTCCATCCAATTCTTTACGGTATATATAAAAGTGAGAATTTATTTTTTTGTTAATGCACTTTTCCATCATAAATTAATCCTGTTAAATAAATAGCTAAATATATTTACCGTACATTTCCATTTCAGTTATTAATGGGCAAACACTGTGAGCCCATCCCTCTCTGTGTAAATATTATCACTCGTCTCGTGAATATATAAAAGTATTCATAAAATATACAAAAATGATTACAAAAAACCACTTTTAATACACAAACAAAATGCTAAGTGATTGATAAGAATCACTCGAAAACACACACAAAATACATATTAATTATTAATGAAATATGATTGCATAGAAAGGTTAGCAACAAAAACCATTTATGAATAATCCCAACATAATTATAATAAATTATATATTTCTGGAGTACTTTTAAACCTTTTATACCCCAAAAATAAGTTGAAGGACAGGCTACTAATGGGCTCAAAGACTCAAAAAATATATTAATATTTAAAACACAGCCTTTGTTTGAAACAAAAAAAGTGTCCCAAATATGCTACAAATACGTCAATAGTATAAGTATTTTGTGGTGAACCCATTAAAAGCCACATTTCATATGAAATTCTTGTCGTAAAAAGTTATTGTTATTATTCTTTAAGCGTATATTTAAGGGATACTCGACTTTATATATAAATGCCTTTCCAAGTGCTTTAAGTATACCTTTTAATATACCTTTTTATTGTAATATCTTTGTGTTTCAACTATTTTCGTATATCAAATGCAATGCATTTGTTGTCGAAACCCCTTAACTACTCGTAAAAATAGTAATGTTTCGCAATAATTCCTAAAACTAACACTTTTATGAAATATAATATAAAGTTTCTCATATATATAGTATACAGTATATTAGTATACTAGTATATTTTTCACTACTATTAAATTGTAGTATAGTTTCTACACTAATGATAAAGAATAGGCAATAAATTCCCCGCAAAAACACACAATAAGTTTATACAGAAATCACTGCTTTTTTTGTTTCTCTTTTATTTTCGCGCATTTCTCTTAATAAACACAATAATAATAATAAAATAGAAAAATAGTTTTATTTACTTTCCATAAGTAATAAGTTATGAAATAATATATTAAAAGGCATTAAAATATAAATATTCATAAAAACACCTGACAATTAAAATAAATTATTTGTAACAAAGCTTTTCATTCACTATATCGCTGTGTATTAGACTATATATAGTGAATGTATTGTGAATTTGAATTTCAATGCAAATATTACATAACATTTGCAATCTTTTATTTATGAGCGCAAAATTGTTTTTAATGTTTTGTCAATAACTTTATCATTTGAATGATAATAGAAATGGAAATTTGTTTGATTTAATTGATTTCTCGCTATGTATTAATACAAAATGTGAAATAAAAAACTTTTTATTATATTTTTACAGAACAAACAAATACGAGATTCAAACCAATAGTAAAGTGAAGTCTGAGTTGTCTTTGGGTAAGGAATTAAAAAATTATTTTTATTTTCATATTTTGTTTATTTATTTGTGTTTTAAGTCTTTTATAATCAAATCAAATATAAGACATAAAATAACAATTTGAGATAAAAAAGTATTTTTAAAATATTAACTGCAATAAACATGTATA